TGGACCCCTACAAATCAGCTGGGCTAGAAAATCTGGACCCTTTCTTTCTAAAATTAGCCGCTGAAATTGTCGCAACCCCTTTACTAGCCTGTTCAACCTCTCTTTCGTAACGTCTGAGATCCCCAGAGATTGGAAAGCTGCCGCAGTCATCCCCCTCTTCAAAGGGGGTGACACTCTAGATCCAAACTGTTACAGACCTATATCCATCCTGCCCTGCCTTTGGAAAGTATTTGAAAGCCAAGTTAACAAACAGATCACCGACCATTTTGAATCCCACCGTACCTTTTCCGCTATGCAATCCGGTTTCCGAGCTGGTCATGGGTGCACCTCAGCCACGCTCAAGGTCCTGAACGATATTATAAATGCGATCGATAAAAGACAGTACTGCGCAGCCGTCTTCATCGACCTGACCAAGGCTTTCGACTCTGTCAACCACCGCATTCTTATTGGCAGACTAAATAGCCTTGGCTTCTCTAATGACTGCTTCGCCTGGTTCACCAACTACTTCTCAGATAGAGTTCAATGTGTCAAATCGGAGGGCCTGTTGTCTGGACCTCTGGTCGTCTCTATGGGCGTGCCACAGGGTTCAATTCTCGGGCCGACTCTATTCTCTGTGTATATCAATTATGTCGCTCTTGCTGCTGGTGACGCTCGGATCCACCTCTATGCGGACGACACCATTTTGTATACATCTGGCCCTTCATTGGACACTGTGTTAACAAACCTCCAAACGGGCTTCAATGCCATAGAACACTCCTTCCGTAGCCTCCAACTGCTCTTAAACACTAGTAAAACTAAATGCATGCTCTTCAACCGAACGCTGCTTGCACCCGCCCACCCGACTACAATCACTATTCTCGGCGGGTCTGACCTAGAGTATGTGGATAACTACAAATACCTAGGTGTCTGGTTAGACTGTAAACTCTCCTTCCAGAATCACATTAAGCATCTCCAATCAAAAGTTAGATCTAGAATTGGCTTCCTATTTCGCAACAAAGCCTCCTTCACTCATGATGCCAAACATGCTCTCGTAAAACTGACTATCCTACCGATCCTTGACTTCGGCGATGTCATTTACAAAATAGCCTCCAACACCCTACTCAGCAAATTGGATGTAGTCTATCACAGTGCCATCCGTTTTGTCACCAAAGCCCCATATACTACCCACCATTGTGACCTGTACGCTGTTGTTGGCTGACCCTCACTACATATTCGTCACCAAACCCACTGGCTCCAGGTCATCTATAAATCACTGCTAGGCAAATCCCCGTCTTATCTTAGCTCACTGGTCACCATAGCAACACCCACCCATAGTCTGCGCTCCAGCAGGTATATCTCACTGGTCATCCCCAAAGCCAACACCTCCTTTGGCCGCCATTCCTTCCAGTTCTCTGCTGCCAATGACTGGAACGAACTGCAAAAATCTCTGAAGCTGGAGACTCTTATCACCATCACTAACTTTAAGCGTCAGTTGTCAGAGCAGCTTACCGATCACTGCACCTGTACACAGCCTTTCTGAAATTAGCCCACCCAACTACCTCATCCCCATATTGTTATTTATTTTGCTAATTTGCACCCCAGTATCTCTATTTGCACATCATCTTTTGCACATCTATCATTCCAGTATTATATGAAATTGTAACTATTTTGCACTATGGCCTATTTATTACCTTACCTCCATAACTTACTACATTTGAACACACTGTATATATATTTTCTGTTGTATTTTTGACTTTATGTTTTGTTTACCCCATATGTAACTCTGTGTTGTTGTTTTTATCGCACTGCTTTGCTTTATCTTGGCCAGGTCGTGGTTGTAAATGAGAACTTGTTCTCAACTGGCTTACCTGGTTAAATAAAGGTGAAAAAAATTAATAAATAAAAAGAACGACTTACAAGTGAATGCATACATTTTCGTATTTGATCGTACTGGTCCCCCATTGGAATCGATCCCACCACCCTGGCGTTGCAAGTGCTCTACCAACTGAGCCACACGGGACCACAGTATCAGGACATTTTAGCCCAAAACCTGGTTGCCTCTGCTAGGAGGCTGAAACTTGGCCGCAAGTGGACCTTCCAGCAAGACAATAACCCCAAACACACATCAAAATCCACAAGAAATGGTTAATTGGCCCAAAATCAACATTTTGCAATGGCCATCTCAGTCTCCAGACTTGAAACCCAATGAAAACTTGTGGTTTGGGAATTGAAAAGGGCAGTTCATAAGCACAGACAAAGGATATCAAGGATCTGGAAGGATCGCTCCCAATGTGTTCTCCAACTCATAAAACAGTTTAGAAAATGGCTGTGCTGTTATCCTTAAATGGTGTAGGCCAGTGGTTCCCAACCTTTTTCGGTTACTGTACCACCAACTGACTTTTGCTCTGCCCGGACAACCCCTGAAGTACCCCCTCATGTGCATTTTACCAGTAAGCCTATGGCCTCATGTCTTCCCAAGTACCCCCTGTGGATAAGCCAAGTACCCCCAGGGGTCCTAGTACCCCTGGTTGGGAATCACTGGTCTAGGTTAAGGTCCAGGGCACTAATGTTTTTGTGCCAACTCCAAAGTGTTGGAGCCTTTTTGTAAAAAAAATCTTTCAGGGTGATGCAATTGATATGTTACATTCAATTTCTCTGTAGTTCCTCCAAATTGTAATTGTGTCGATGCAATCAAGGTGACATTGCTTAAACCCAGCTTGTTTCACTTTCAAAATGAATGTCTGTAAAAACAAAAAAATACATTTGAGTTATTGTACAGTAATCTCTACTTTCAAACTTCCCTTAAAGTCCTTGAGATAATGAAAGGAGGAAAATTCTCCCAGCACTGGCACTGAAGTCGCCCTTGAATCGTAGTTGCTGCTGTAAATGGAATGTTTTTGTCTTGCTGTATCAGTGATGTCAAATCTCTGAGAAACTCTTGGAGTTGCCAGCGGTAATTAGCGCACAGATTAGTCCGCTGGAACGTGCTTTGGTTTGGTATTCTGCCGCAGTGCATTTGAAATAAAGAATAGAGCGGATCATCAATTACTAGGTGAATATCAATGAATGGACCAAATCGGCCTCGTCCCCAGTTCCCTGATGCAATTATTTTCTATTCACATCAATTATTGCTAACAGATGACACTAATGATTTTGAGCGAAAGCTGCCGATGGCAGCACTTCTAGAGATCAATGCTATTTAAAAAGGGGTCACAGCGCAAACAACACTTGTCGTCTTTCAGGGTGTTTCTATCTGGATTTGGCCCAGAGCCGCATTGAGCATTTATAGCATGCTTTGATGCAACATATTTAAGTCATGTATGTATGCCCAACTTTGGGACTAGTTGTGAATGGATAAACATAGGTCTATTACACATTCAATTTGATACTTCATAAATAACAGCTAAATAATTGTGGAAACACTACTGAAAATAGTGTTACCGACCTAACTTTTTGTGTTTTGTTTTGCTACTGACTTAACTTCTCACCCATCAAGTGTGGCTGAGGGATATATTATGGCTAAGTAGACCTACCATCATGGGCATTAAAACACTCTCTTTGCTCAGACTATGGGATTGAAAGTTTGATAAAGAATTTTCCTTTTGGGAAATGAGGTTCCATGGTTCCAGCCAGAGAGGCTAAGAGAGGAGGAATGAAGCTGAGTAATAGATCACTGCGTGATTATTGATCATTGCCCATGCTGTATTATTATGCATGAACTTTTGAGATATGATAGAACTCCAAAACCCACGGGGCTACAGGTTCAGTGAACTGTAGATATTTGTCTTGGGACTGTGACCACAGATTGTAAAGCATTCAGAAACTGGGATTCAATCCATTGCATGTTATAGCAGAGGGCACTCTACAGCCGACTCCCAAGTGGCGTAGTGGTCTAAGGCACTGCATCTCAATGCTAGAGGCGTCACTACAGACTCTGGTTCAATTCCAGGCTGTATCACAATCTGGCTGTGATTGGGAGTCCCAAAGGGCGGCGCACAATTGGCCCAGCGTCATCCGGGTTTGGCCGGGGTAGGCCATCATTGTAAATAACAATTTGTTCTTAACTAACTTGCCTAGTGAAATAAAGGTTGACAATGTGCATTTTCGCTGAAGTCCACAGAGATCGCATTCATGGTAAATACTGTGCATGTCAGCTCAAGGGTAAATTACCTTTAAAAGTCTGTTATAGTAAGTCAAAAGTAAGTAGCCATGGCTTGTGCGAGCCAAAACGGCTCATGGGAGCAGGAGCCTATCTCCTGTAGATGAGGCCGCTTGATATACAAGTACACCCCCTGGACAGGATGCTAGTCTATCGCAAGGCCTTACCCCCCATTCTATCTTCTTTATGCCGAGTGCCAAGCAGAGACTCATTGGGTCCCATTTCTACAGTCTGGCATGACACGGCCGGGCATCGAACTCCCAACCTTCCATCTCAGGGCTGACATGCTAACCACAAGGCCACTGAGTTGGTTCTGTTATAGTGCCCTGCGATATAACGCACATTGGATTGAATCTTGGCCTTAGTTTCAGACTATTGACCATGTCTCCAACAATACATAAGAAAGACATACCAACATTTGTTTTCATGCACAGATAGAGAAGACGAGTGAATGCCCACCTTGTAGAGTAGGGATTCCTGTGACAAGTAGAGTGGAGAATGTCATTCCTCTCCTCAATTAGCCTTTGGATGGAAAGAGACAGTGATGCATTCAGCATATTGATTCTTCTAGTTCTGTGACAAATACAAACAGCGAGCCACAGGGTACCATCTCGGTTGTTCATTGTGCAAAGCAGTGAGATGATCTATTGAATACAATACAAGGCATTATTTGCAAGAGCACAAAACTGACTTGTGGAAGAATAGATTGGTTACACACGAAACTTGAATCATCATCAACAATACTTGGTTACAGATATTTGGGTATATTGAACCAATAAGTATTGTACCCTCTGTGCGGAATTGCAACGTCATTCAATAATCAATTGCAATTAATACTAAAACATGCAATCTTTCAGTTAACATGCTAATAGAGGTATGTAGATGGTACTATGGCCTCTTCTGCTGCACACTAATTGCTGATTTGTATCGTACTGAGCAGTAGGTGCCTGGATCACTATCTACACTCCAGAGGCAGTAAAGTTTGAATTGAATTGAATTTCTGAACACACTCCTTATTTTCCAGGAGGTCCAGCGGAATGGGAAGGCAGGTGTTCCTGCAGGGAGGTGGCCCAGCCTGCTGAATCTGACCTGTCCACGCAGTAGCTGCAGTGGCAGTGAGGTCTCCTTATCCAGTGCCTGTAGCGAGTACTCCAGTGGCTCACATACTTGGGCAGAAGGACGCGGCTCCACCAAGCAGGTGAGTCACCCAGTCTGAACTTAAACTAATTGCTGTTGCGTACAGTGAAGTAAACTTGTAATAGGTTACTATGCACGAAGGATCCTCAACATTCATCAACAAATTCCAATGTCTTCATTCTTTCTTGTTGTTGACGACTAAATTGTCTTTCTCTTTTGTTACAGTCTGCAATAAATCGGGAGAAGAGGATGAGTGCGACTTATTGCTCTGTCTCAGCAGAGCAGCCGGACCTAAGCTGGAAAGAGGGACACATTCTGAAGGGCCTGCGGAGGCTCCAAATGCGCAGCCCAGCTCCCCAGGAGCCATCTTCACTCGCCTCCACGTCACATTTCAAGAACTGCATGACCTCCAACGAGGGCATATACTCTCTAGGGGTCAAGTGTGGGCCCATAGGGGTAGTGCCCACATTGGCAAAGGGAAAGCCTTTCAAGCCAGGAGCAGGAGTCAGTACCTTAATCTCTGACTCGGACGATGCAGATGATGAATCACCTCAATCCCCAGTCAGGGAGTCCTGCGGCCAACCCATCAAAGACACTCACCATCTGGAAGGACAGCCTCCGTCTGAATTGGGAATGGCACAGGGGGAAAAGAGCTTTATGGACTACAACTCCCAAGAGGAGCCTGTAAGACTCGTAAGGAGTCCCTGCAACTCCCTCTCACCTATCAAAGACGTTTTCTTGCTCAAGGGTCCCACACTGAAGCCTGGACTTAGCCCAACGGCGACCCCTACCATTGTGAGTGGACTTGAGAATACAAACTGGATAGAAAAAGACAAGCAGTCAGCCTTTACAAACTGGAATGTTATGGACAGTTGCAATTTGAGGCCAGAGAGTGTTAAACATCCACAAGACAAAGTTACAGACAAACAACTAGAGACAGGGGCTAAGGAAGTGAGCCTACCCATTCAGCATGCAGCAGCCAGAGCTTTGAGTTGGGTTAGTGAGGTCAGACAGCGCAGTGCTTCCATGGATACGAAGCATTACAGAGAGCCGAATAGCCAGGGTGAAGTTGATACCAAGGACTACACCATTTTGGAGTCCCGACAGAGGAAAGCAAAGCCTAAGGCCTGCAACTCAGCAAGGAAGGCCTTTTTCCTCCGAAGCAAGAGTGTGGATGGAGGCCCAGACAAGGCCAAGCTGCACCAGCCTCTACACCTGAAGCTGATAAAGGTCAATCAAAGGTCAAAGAACCACTCAAACACTCCTGGGCCCAGTGGCCCTGGCACAAATACTAACCTCAGCAAGGCACCTGGTCCAGCAAAGGCATCAGTACAAATGTCTGAGAAAGGTAAGAATGCTACTGGTGCAAGAACTTCAGGGCCCCTTGAGAGTACAGTACAGGGTTCCCCCTCTTCTTCCCCTCAGAAACTGGTCAAGGTATTTAAGCCACCTGGGCTGAAAGATTACCCCAAGAGCCCATCTAAAGTATCCCAACCAGTCTCCAAACTCCCATCAAGGAATGACTGTGGGGCCAAAGCCCCCAACTCCAACAATTCAGCCGGCTCGCCACTCAAACAGAGACAGCAAGACCAGCACTCCGATCCCCCTCGCAATGATATCAGGTCCCTTTCTCCTCCACCCCCACCAGGTCGGACCACCTCCCTACTGAAACGACCTGGTTATGACTCGTTACCTCAGGCGCATAAGTCTGTGGTTCAGCCCCAAACCTCTAGCACTGTGAAGGCAACCACTAGTAGCACCAAATCTCAGTCTAGTCATCATATATCTATTTTACAAATGCAAGCTCAAGCCCCCAACAAAATGCAAGACACTCGTCATATGGCTCCCAAAATGGCCGCTGAGGTGAAGAAGTCACCGAAACGGGGCCCTACCAAAGTTTACCATCCCTTACCAACTTCTACCCCTATTCAAGAATCTAAGGAAACAGCCTCTTCCCAATCCTCAATGAGCAGGACTGTGGCACAAGCCTCCCATCAGGAAAATAGTGTCCCCTTTGTGGTGCCAAACCAGGGCTGCTTACCTGTGTCCCAGCAAGGCAATGGTGAGCCACAAAGTACAGAGCTCTTACCTCAGGCCTCAGCATCTCTTCTCTGCCATGGCATAGTTAGTAACTCTCAAGATTCTGTGACCAGGGTAGAGAAGTCATCCATTCTTGTTGGCTCCAAAACCTACGAGACAACTCCAAAGCCGGGCAACAACTCCACAGTTAACACTGCTACAAAGGGAGTGCAGACTTTTGACACCTTCAACCAGGACACCTACACACGTCCAATGATGCACTGTGTCAATGCAGCTGTAGCAAAGGCCAAAGCTAGGAGAAATCTCAAGACCCGCTGTAGTTCACTAGAGGAGCCCGCACTCCCACCTCCAGCAGCAGAGAATGGTGTAACTTTGGACTGGGGATTTGATGAAGAGGGCTGGCTATTCAAGCGCTCAGTCTCAGTTTCTACCCAGCGTCCTCTTCACCCGGTTATGGGGATGAACGGAGCAAAGGCTCGCAGTCAAAGCTTCGGAGCACGTTACATGGACAGACCGAATGTCAGCAGGTCAGAAAAAGTCCGTACTCACATCAAAACTAAATCAGGAAGCTCTTTGAACTCTCTTGGTGATGTATTTCGGGGTAGTATGAGTTGCTCCAACAGCTACCATTGTCCCATGAACAGATCCCACGTGAACAATTTAATGATTGAGGAAGGCTTGCCACTACCTGCACATCTGGGGGCTTCCAAGTGATCGATTTGGTCTCAAACACCAGAGATTAAACTCAACATCACATCTCCAGACTGAGAAACAGCTCTCTAGCACCTTCTGTGAACCCATCCATGGGGAACCAGAGAGACATTCCACCATCGAGGAGAAGGTCATGATGGGAATCGAGGAGAATTTGCAGAAATCTCAGGAGCAGGAGAAGACAACTGAAACTAAGCAGAAATCAGTCTCATCCCTGGCAAACTGGTTCGGATTCCGCAAGAGCAAGCTCCCTGCTCCGAGTGGCAAAAAAGGAGATACTCCAAAGGGAAAGGAAGAGAAGAAGGAGCCAAAGCTTGGATCTCTCTTGGGTGGGAAGCAGGCAAAGTCTGACAAAAAGAAGGAGAGGAGGAAAAGTGAAGGTCATCGAATGGACAGGTAAGGCTTTTATATTGTTTAAGTTGGGTAGCTGAGAAGTCATGTTGACTTGTTTTACTGCTGGGAAAATAATGTTTATGAGAGACATCAAGACAAAGTAACTTCTCATTCATTACAAAACAATGCTTTGCTTTATTGTAATGCATTGGATATATTTACCACAAAGGCTGAAATATACTGTCACTTTTGATATTGGTAACCAGAGCTAAAGTAATGATTAAAATCAATGAAATCCAACATCAGTATATCTGCTTAATCCCCCGAGAGTTGCACAACAACAAAAATCCCCATCAAAATCAGTCAGTTTAAATTATAGATATCAGTGTTTTTGCATTTGGATGCGTCTCAATCCACCGTTTTGCTCTACGGCACCCACTAGTGTCAGGAGACTCGTTTGAAGTCAGTACCGTCAATGTGCCAGTTCTGTTTGGTAGCGTCCGAACCGTTTGAGCTACAAACTAATGGGACTCCACTGTGGAAAGGGGACATTCTCTCTGTTTTTCTCTACGACCCCCACAAGTGTCACGGGACTTGTCTGAAGGTGTAAAAAAAAATATATATATATATATATATATATATATATATATATTTATACACCTTATATATATATATATATATATATATATATATATATATATATATATACAGTACCAGTCAAAAGTTTGGACACACCTACTCATTCAAGGGTTTGTCTTTATTTTTACTATTTTTTACATTGTAGAATAATAGTGAAGACATCAAAACTATGAAAGAACACACATGGAATCATGTAGTAACCAAAAAAGTGTTAATCAAATCACTATATACTTTATATTTGAGATTCTTCAAATAGCCACCCTTTGCCTTGATGACAGCTTTGCACACTCTCAGTGAAAATAAAGTAGAACCCTTGAATGAGTAGGTTTGTCCAAAATGTTGACTGGTATCTATCTATCTATCTATCTATCTATCTATCTATCTATCTATCTATCTATCTATCTATCTATCTATCTATCTATCTATCTATCTATCTATCTATCTATCTATCTATCTATCTATCTATCTATCTATCTATCTATCTATCTATCTATCTATCTATCTATCTATCTATCTATCTATCTATCTATCTATCTATCTATCTATCTATCTATCTATCTATCTATCTATCTATCTATCTATCTATCTATCTATCTATCTATCTATCTATCTATCTTTCCAGAGTTTTTTATATCTCCTAGATTTAGGGCAGACACTTGTTTCAAAACTTATTTCATATTATTTATTTTTTAGCCATTTATGAATGTGTTTCTATGTGTAAGGTTCTGTATTTATTTTCTTAGTAAACCTTGCGTTTTTGAACGTAGCCCTGTCTTTCATTTTTGTTCATTGATTGCACCTGTGTTTGTTACTCACCTGGTAACATTATCTCCTTATTTAGTTCAGTTCATTCTGTTTGTGCCTTGTGAGGTATTGTTCGTTTTGACTCTACTAAGCCTTTTCCTAGCTCGTTTGTGAGAACCAGTTATAGCCTTCAGTCCTAGTTTTTGATTCTCCTGCCTGTTTGCCTATCTGTGTATGACCATTGCCTGCCTGTGACCACGATTCCTGCCTTTTGCGAAGGCGAAATAAACACCTGCCGCGCTCTGCACGTGAATCTACACCTTTTTCTCCCTGAGTATTCAGTACACTATGGGCTTTAGTATAAAAATACCAAAATAATTGTTTTATATATTTTTTTATACCTAAAGGGGTCCTAAAATGTCAAATGAAATAGCTAAATGATTCATAGTATGACCATCTTAAAACAATTCCATATGTCATCAACTGAGTTCTCCATTTTGAGTCATACCTCATGTACACTGAACTATCACCACTTGACTGAACCATCAAACAGATCTCTTCATATCTTTCCATGAGGTGATTTACTGCCCCAGATAGCCTTTTTTATTAAGAGCTGTTAGAAACATTTATCACTCTTCTAAGTCCTGAGACCATTTCAGACCCATAGCACAGCGAGAACACAGTGAGAATTCAAGAGGTAGGCAGTGGCTACACAGTAACACCCTGGGCATGTTGAGTAAATATGAAACGTAGATTATAGTGGTCGAGTGAAAACCTGTTTTCTTTCAGCTCGGTGGGGAAAAGAGACTCCCAAGATGCATTGCTCCTCTGCCTCTCGATGGCCTCCCAGGGAGCCCCAGTTAATAGCAACATGCAAAGACAAACTGACATCTGTGGGGACACAAAGGTACATTAAATTATTACCCGGCATGAGGAGAAGGACTGTGTTGTCGGTTTAGGGTCAATTTCATGTAGATTTTAGTCAATGCAGGGATTAAATTGTAACTGGAACTACAATTGAGAACTGCTCAATTAATGTTATGGACATTTTCCCATACAAATTCTATGTCCAATTACATTCCTGAATTGACTGGAAAATTAAATGACCATAACTCTACGACGTGTCAATTTCATGTCTAAGGATTCAGTTATACAATATGCATAATGTCTCTGCATGGCCAATTATAGAAAACTGTATTTCTGTGTATGACAATTTGTGCCAACCACTTTGCATGGACCGTCAGATAAGTTAATTATATTAACATTTAACTGTGCTAGTTCATTTCAACCTGTCAATAGCCTAGATCCTCTGAAAGACTTTCAATCTCTTCCCTAACACTAGAAAACACCATTTCTGAAAGGAAGTATTTCTGTATAATACCACAATCTGTACAGAAAGGAAGTGAAGCTAAAGAAATACTGTATTATCAAAACTGACCTCGCAAGGTCCCATCTAATGGAAAAATAGAAATGTGAGATGAATTCAAGAAAAAAGGGGTGGGTGACCGAAAGAAAGGAACATATGAGAAGAATATAAAGGACCCAGGAAGATATGTGGCAGATCAGATGGATATGGAGTTAGGGTGAGAGATTGAAAAACTACGAGACGGGAGAGGAGTTGGAGAGAGAGAGAGAATTGTAACAAAGATTTATAAACAAAGAAACACCAATGAAATTTAGATAACCGGAATAAACCTTTAATGTGTTTCATAGATTGTGTGGATCACTCCAACACACACGCATGCAACATGCTCTCACACATGCATGCACACAAACATGCACGAAATACTGGACATACTTAATGGAGATACTGAGGAAATCTATGGACTATTTAGATATAGTATCTACAAACATTCACAGGCAGTCTTGATAATGGAGTGATCATTAGAATGAACATTGCTTAGAAGTATTTTCAATGACAGTCCATCATTGTCCTGATGTGATTCAGATAAATATTGTTAGCCTGTTGCCCAAATAGATGATCAGATAATCTAGACAGCTAAAATGGCAATTGAATTAGAGTTTATTAAATTAGTTTTTCCCACCAAACTTAACGAAAAGTCAGACAACCGCTGTTCGATTAGATTACCAGGGGTGAAAATAAGTCAACAATGCCAAGTTGTCAACTGGCCAAATGTCTGTCTTGCTGGTTCACAAACTTCTGTGAGATTGTGCTTTACAAAGAACTGAAAACATGTCTTAACATAGAGGATTGCATGAAAGAGGACATTTGAGTCAGTCAATCAGCGACTATGTCTGCGTTTGTAAGGAATTTATTCATACCACTTTATGATCATAGATTCAAACCATGATGGTAGATTGCAAACCACAAATTAAATATAAAACATGTAATCACAAGTATAGACAACTCATCTATTGCTTTACAATTCACAGAGCCCAATTTAGTCCCCTGTTCCATACAGGTATAATTATTCTCTCTTCTTGCTCCCACAAACAGACAAAAACACAGAGGATGAACCTCAGGACTGATAACGACAATGGAGCTGCATTAAAGAGCCCCAGTCAAGAACACGTGATCGGTAAGGGATTTAAGAAAACTATTTGTATTGAATTTGATAGATGGGCCCTGTCGAGAAGCAACCCCTTGCTCCTACCCATAGGAACAATTTGTAAAAATTGGCTAGGTGTTTCATGGTCATAGCTCTACCTTGCACCTATCCAATCCTATTAGATCTACAGAAGTGCACTCTTTCCATCAGTCAAGGCCTATTTTACCCTCTGTTTCTCAGCCATCAAATTACTCAAGCATTGCTAATACTGGCAGATTTCCTTCCTAGCTCTTTTCATTCATGTTAGTTTAACCTGTGAACCAGTGTCAAAGAGATGGAACCACAGTTGAAAGAGCAAGGTTCTGCGCAAACAGTGTTTTGACTGTACGTGACACCCCCTCACCCAGAGTTAGCGTTTTCCTTCTGTGCATTTAACTTCACAGAGAAATACTGAAGCACAGTTCTCTCTCTCTCTCTCTCTCTCTCTCTCTCTCTCTCTCTCTCTCTCTCTCTCTCTCTCTCTCTCTCTCTCTCTCTCTCTCTCTCTCTCATTAAGGACGATTTAGATAGTATCAAAGCCCCTGCAAAGCACGCTAAAATGAAATGTTTCAACTCTGCGCAAGTCTAAGAAGTAATATAAGTATCCAATTTAAAGGTAACCTCCGAGTGAGTGGAGGTCTAAATGTCACTCAGTATATTTTAGCAATTGTATTTGTACCATTTGAGGAGAATGTGCTGATGTGTTTTAAGATATTTGGATTTTTGAATTAATTTACTTGTTAAATAGGTCTGCCAAGACATCTGTAAACTGCATGTAACAGATGCATTTAGGCCTCAATTAATTAATACACTCAAAAAGATCTTTGGTCTATACTGAAGTGATTTTCTAACTTTTTAGGCTAAGAACCCCTACCCCTATCAACCCATACCAAATCTTGAAACCATATGGTACTGTGTGCTTAAAGGCCAAATGGAGCCATTTTTGTAAAGCAACATCAAATAATTCCTGGGTAACAAACCTAACTGTATTAGCCTGCCATTAAAATGGGCAGAAAAAGCTTTTAATAAGCAAAAAACTATTTCTCAAGCAATACTTTTGTTTGGACTGTCTGGGAGTGGTCTGAGGGGGGAAGGGGAAACTGGAAACTAGCTGTTATTGGCAGAGAGGTTTGGAACTCTCTTTCTTATTGGTCTTTTAACCAATTTACCGCATGGTGATGTCACCTTGGAAAGCCGAAACTCCCACCCATGCAAACTTGCTGATTAGAAGGTCCTGTGTAGATTGTATTTTCAACCAGCAACTATCAGGAAAGAACACTGATCAAATTTTTCCACACATTTAAAGAGTTTGAACTCTGTTGCTGTGCATTGAACTTCAAACATTATTTTGAATGATTGAATATGGATGAACTGTAAACATCCTGCCATGTATAATACATTGTTCCTTCTCATTAATATTAACAACAGTTGGGGACTATACAGTTGACCTTTTATGAGTTTCAATTTTCAGGTGTTAGCTTGTTAGTCATCATTCAGTCTTTTCATTACTTCAGGCCAATTGAAAGGAGATCAAACAAGGACATGATCCTTAGCTAGTGCCAAAGGGCTTGTGGAGGGCAATCAATGGTCAACCTCTTTGATGCTGCACAAAGGTGCTTGTTAATTTTCGCCTTCAAGAACACAAATCAATAACGTCTGCCATCTGTATCGCGCTCTTACCTTTATTAGTTACTCCTGTTTGTGTGACAGGTAAGTAAGAGCTGCTTTCATCATTGTCGTACATTTTTTTTAGAGCTGTTTGTCACAATTTGAAACTGACCACCTGAATTGTTTAAGTTTAATCATCTTGATGTATGAATAAAACACATACTAAATAAAGACACCCAATTATCAAATAAGTTGTCAGTTAACAGCCCAACTGTTTTGAGTCAAGCTTTTCTCTGGATCACTGAAGAGGAGCCAATATTTTCCGTTGATAAAGAAGTCTACTGGGTATTATGTCAGAAATCATGTCAGCATGACAAGGAGACAGGGACTTTGATGGTTTGAATTCAGGATATCTTGTTCTGAGTTGTGTTTGCCTGTGCTAGTTCACTGGAGGGATAGTTGAAACTTTTCAGAATAAAACATCAGCGGCTTGATCAGGTTTTCTGTTTCATACAGCAGGAATAAAACAATAATTTTTGTATTTCTTTCCAATTCTTTCAAGAAGTTCACATAAGATCTGAAAATCTGTTGTTTTTTCATTGTATCAAAGCGAGAAGTATGAGAATGACAAATAACAGCGTTGTGATTACTGTACTTTAAATATTGTGTAGCCCAGCATACTATATGATGTGCACAGTTAATTGTATTACAATTGAAATAGATACGGATTCAATACTGCTTGAACAGTAATGCATTAGAAATAGGTTTGCCACCAACAAGTACAATATCATACATGCACCTCATTTGACACTGCCACTAAATCAATGGTTAAAGTGCCTGATTTTCCCTAAGCGTATTCAACCCGACTCTTCATTGGGTGAAGCCCATTCTCTCTGGTGGCAACAATGGCATCATGCGCTAATTAGCGAGGAATCATAAGCCAGCGACACAGTTACATGTAATTGGATTGTACTGAACTGCCATCAATTTGGCTCTTAGAGAGGACCTTTTTCGAGTGTCGTAGAATGAAATAACTAGACCATCTGTTGCATTAATGCACTGAAATTCCACAAGGCGGTGTCAGCAGCCAGTCACAGCTGGTTAAGACTCCCTCATGCACAACATAATGTAGGTGAGGTAGGACAGGGGACAAGGAGACAGACAATCAAATCAGGCTGGAGAGAAAAAAATTCATGAAATTGAGTGGATAATGTTGCGCTTTGAGATTGCAGTTCATGTTGTTGAGACATATTCCCAATGTTATTATAAACGCATTTGTTCATAGATTATTAAACTAGTCATGAGGTAGTTTAGATTATTCATAGGGCATAAATCATTGTTGCAGTATTATTGTATCTCATTTTTATTTTTAATGCACTACAGTAGGCATATGCTTGTCTTTTGTTGATTCCTCTTCAACCAATTATATAAAAAAGTGTAATTCCGTTATCTCTTTCCTTTGGTTTTGTGTAACTCCTGTCATTGCCTGCATCCCCAAGCCCCATCATGTGTTCTCCTTGTGCCTCAGACTCCGGCTGCAAGATGCAAACGTTGGACAGCGGCATTGGAACGTTCACCCTCCTCGATTCCTCCTCCTTCTTCTCCTCCTTCCTCCACCTCCTTCCCAAGTCCCCATCGGCCCGGGCTCACTCCCTCAGCTCTCCCAGTGTGCCTAGTTCCTCTAGTGAGGAGGTGTCGCCCTCCCCATTACCAAGGTGGAGAGTGCCTGCCGGCTCGAAGGACCGTCTCTGCAGCCAACCAGGGCTTGTCAACTACCCGTTATCTGACATCACTGTGACCCTTGTCCAATCAGTGCCTTATCCCACTGTGGCCTTCCTTCAGCCCATCCAATCCCTGTCTGAGCCCCTTGTGACCTGTGCCAGTGTATGTGATACCCAGAGCAGGCTGCCCAGACTAGCCTCAGGTAAAGCCCAGAGAGCTCTTGTCTAGAGATACAGTGCCTTCAGAAAGTATTCATACACCTTGACTTATTCCACATTTTGTAGTGTTACAGCCTGAATTCAAAATGGATAAAAACACAATACCCCATGACAAAGTTATAACATGTTTTTAGAAATTGTAGCAAGTTTATTGAAAATGAAATGCAGAAATATCTCATTTACATAAGTATTCACACCCCTGAGTCAAAACTTTGTAGAAGCACCTTTGGCAGCGATTACAGCTTGAGTCTTTCTGGGTAAGTCTCTAAGAGCTTTCCACACCTGGATTGTGCAACATTTTCCCATTATTATTTTCAAAATTCTTCAAGCTCTGTCAAATTGGTTGTTGATCATTGCAAGACAACCATTTTCAGAACTTGCCATAGATTTTCAAGCAGATTTAAGTCAAAACTGTAACTAGGCCACTCAGGAACATTCCCTGTCTTCTTGGTAAGCAACTCCAGTGTAGATTTGGCCTTGTGTTTTAAGTTATCGTCCTGCTGAAAGGTGAATTCATCTCCCAGTGTCTGGTGGAAAGCAGACTGAACCAGGTTTTCCTCTAGGGCAGGGTTCTTCAATTCCGGTCCTGGAGGGCCGAAACACCTCTGTTTTTCATCCTCTCCTTCTAATCAGGGGCTAATTCAGACCTGGGACACCAGGTGAGTGCAATTAACTATCAGGTAGAAATAAAAAACAGAAGTGTTTCGGCCCTCCAGGACCGGAATTGAAGAACCCTGCTCTAGGGTTTTGCTTGTGCTTAGCTCCATTCCATTTATTTTTTATCCTAAAAAACTCACCAGTCCTTAACGCTTGAACATATGGAGAGGTTTTTATTTATTTAACCTTTATTTAACTAGGCAAGTCAGTTAAGAACAAATTCTTATTTACAATGACGGCCTTGAGTGCTACTCAGTAATATGTTGTATTGGATTTGCCCCAAACAGAACACTTTGTATTCAGGACAAAAAGTTAATTGCTTTGCCACATTGTTTGCAGTATTACTTTAGTGTATTGTTGCAAACAGGATGCATGTTTTGGAATATCTTTATTCTGTACAAGCTTCCTTCTTTTCACTCTGTCAATGAGGTTAGTATTATGGAGTAACTATAATGTTATCCTATCACAGCCATTAAACTCTGTAACTGTTTTAAAGTCACGATTGGCCTCATGGTGAAATCCCTGAGCAGTTTCCTTCCTCTCCGGCAACTGAGTTAGGAAGGACGACTGTATATTTGTAGTGACTGGGTGTATTGATACACCATCCAAAGTGTAATTAATTACTTCACCATGTTCAAAGGGATATTCAATGTGTTTTTTTATTCATTTTTTCCCTTCTACCAAAAGTGCACTTCTTTGCGAGGCATTGGAAAACCTCCCTGGTCTTTGTGGTTGTATCTGTGTTTGAAATTCACTGCGTGACTGAGAGATCTTACAGATAATTGTATGCATGGGGTACAGAAATGAGGCAGTCATTCAAAAATCATGTTAAACACTATTATTGCACACAGCGTGAGTCCATGCAACTTATTATGTGACTTGCTACGGACATTTTTACTTCTGAACTATTTAGGCTTGCCATAACAAAGGGGTTGAATACTTATTTCATCTTTTCATTTTTTATTAATTTGTAAAATTTTTGAAAAGCACAATTCCACTTTGACATTATGGGGTATTGTGTGTAGGCTAGTGACACAAAATCTCAATTTAATTATGTCTGTAACACAACAAAATGTGGTCAAGGGGTGTGAATTATTTCTGAAGGCACTGTATGTCTGTCTGGTCATGAGCATTAACAGAGTAATAGATTTGGGACTAACCAAATCTCACTTAGGGGACCCAAAATGCTAGAGCTGGCCCTGGTTAAAATTGTGGTTGTATTGCTTGTTTCAATGTAAGGCAGTATCAAGGGATAATATCATGCCACTTTTACAGCTAATCACAATAGGTTCATCATTATCTCAATATTGACTGAAGTATTATTGAAGTATGCCTGGGGACTTCAATGTCCCGTCATGCCTGTATTATGACTTTTATGGCACTAGGGTGCCAGTCAAATAGAAATAGGGTCCTATAAATGCAATAACTCTATGTAAATACAGTCCTGGAGGCGACAGTGATCAGGCCCTGTTATTACTACAACTAAAGCCAGCATCAAGGCAGACAATCACCTTTTTAAATGAGCAGAGAAGAGAGGCTTGCCCAGATTAGTATGCTAATGGTAGCCCCAGTTTAGACTTCCAAATATACACTAAATTATCCTGTCATAAGAGTTGATGTATTTCCTATCAGAGTTTTCCAGAGAAATAAATAAATTGGTGGTAATTGAAATTCATACCTCATTGCACAGAGGGTGATCAGCTGGCCCAGACAGCTGTATTTTTTGGTTGGCACAATTTTGAGGTGGGGTGTAGTGTCAACTGGAAAAACAAAGCAAATCTCCAATGTTAAGTGATGACCATCTAATGCCTGAAGATGGGACACTAGCAAACCTTTTTCATTACCGAACACCAGATTCAGTGAAAGAGGCTATGTGCTCTAGATGTTTTATTCTACCACTGTCTTGCTTTCCTGTTACTGTGTGCAATACAACAGAACATATTCCCGTAACATTTTCTGGATGAGGTTAATTTTGTGTGTAATGACACTCAGCAGTGCCATGGCAATAACATAATTTGTTGCAACAGAAAGGATTGTTTTATGTCAGATTTTGTTAGAAACATAAAGGTTTGTGCTCAAACAAATAGAGAGGAGGTGCTGCCAAAAAATGTCTAACTACTGGGAATGGATGTAAGGCACGACACTCTACATATACAGCACCAGTCAAAAGTTTGGACACACCTACTCATTCAAGGGTTTTTCTTTATTTTTACTATTTTCTACATTTAGACTAATAGTGAAGACATCAAAACTATGAAATAACACATATGGAATCATGTAGTAACCAAAAAAGTGTTAAACAAATCAGAATATATTTGAGATTTGAGATTTTTCAAAGTAGCCACCCTTTACCTTGATGACAGCTTTGCACACTCGTAGCATTGTGGTAGTCACCTGGAATGCTTTTCCAACAGTCTTGAAGGAGTTCCCACATATGCTGAGCACTTGTTAGCTGCTTTCCCTTCACTCTGCGGTCCAACTCATCCCAAACAATCTCAATTGGGTTGAGGTCATGTGATTATGGAGGCCATGTCATCTTATGCAGCACTCCATCACTCTCCTTGGTCAAAAAGCCCTTACACAGCCTGGAGATGTGTTTTGGGTCATTGTCCTGTTGAAAAACTAATTATAGTCCAACTAAGCGCAAACCAGATGGGATGGCGTATCGCTACAGAATGCTGTGGTAGTCATGCTGGTTAAGTGTGCCTTGAATTCTAAATAAATCACTGACAGTGTCGCCAGCAACACACCATCACACCACCTCCTCCATGCTTCACGGTGGGAACCACACATGCAGAGATCATCCGTTCACCTTCTCTGCATCTCACAAAGACATGGTGGTTGGAACCAAAAATCTCAAATATGTACTCATACCAAAGGACAGATTTTCATTGGTCTAATGTCCATTGTTTGTGTTTCTTGGCCAAATCAAGTCTCTTCTTATTATTGGTGTCCTTTTAGTAGTGGTTTCTTTGCAGCAATTCCACCATGAAGGCCTGATTCACACAGTCTCCTCTGAACAGTTGATGTTGAGATGTCTGTTACTTGAACTCTGTGAAGCATTTCTTTCGGCTGCATTCTGTGGTGTAGTTAACTCTAATGAATTTATATTCTGCAGCAGAGGTAACTCTGGGTCTTCTTTTCCTGTGGCCGTCCTCATGAGAGCCAGTTTCATCATAGCTCTTGATGGTTTTTGCGACTGCACTTGAAGAAACGTTCAAAGTTCTTGAAATTCTCTGGATCTATTTGCTTATTTGTTCTTGCTATAATATGGACTTGGTCTTTTACCAAATAGGGCTATCTTCTGTATACCACCCCTACCTTGTCACAACACAACTGATTGGCTCAAACGCATTAAGAAGGAAAGAAATTCCACAAATTAACTTTTAACAAGGCACACCTGTTAATTGAAATGCATTCCAGGTGACTACCTCATGAAGCTGGTTGAGAGAATACCAAGAGTGTGCAAAGCTGTCATCAAGGCAAAGGGTGGCTACTTTGAAGAATCTCAAATATAAAATATATTTGGATTTGTTTAAAACTTTTATTGGTTACTACATGATTCCATATGTGTTATTTCATAGTTTTTGATGTCTTCACTATTATTCTAGAATATAGAAAATAGTAAAAAATTAAGAAAAACCCTGGAATGAGCAGGTGTGTCCAAACGTTTGACTGGTACTGTATATCAAAAGTAATTTCATTAAACGTAATAAACTATGTTTGTAACCTAATGTAAAAAAAAAAAAGAAACTAACCAGATTTGTATGCATTGCAGATACTGTCAACCTGAGGTTGAAAGAGCAAGGTAACTTGACACTGCTGTTATAATGCTGTCTTAGAATACTTGGAATGTCTTAGAATTCAATGGCCATACAATTTAACAGTGCTCTCTCTCAGCTACTGCTCTTGTTCCCCTTTTCTCAGCAGTTAAAATGACATGATCGTGAAAGAATGACAAGGACGACTGCTAAGAAACCATCAGCAGTGAGTTGTTTTTTTAAATGATTATTGCTTTTATTGGTAGGTGGAATGTAACCAACAAGATTGAGCCATTTCAAATCAAAGACAACCCCTGCTAAGAGCCAACAAAGAGAGCAGTCGATACTCCAGTCTAAGAACTGTTAGAACCGGTTTTATATCCAATTAATTTATTTTAGCAATCAAGTAATTTTCAGAATAAAATAAAAGTATCTTAAATAATCTGTAGTTGATCAACCATAGGCATGGATTTACAGGAGTGAATATGTAAAATGTTGGGTTCTGTGGAGCCAGTTAAAATACAAA